GGCTATCCAGTCGGCAAATCTTCGGCCCACCCACTCCAGCTTGTACAGGAAATGATTCATGACCCCCCAGACACTCCACACAAATGCATGCTCCAGAGTGACTGGCCTCTGAGTGGCTTCGTCGAACCATATGGTGAATTTCCTGAAACTCGACGGCGAGGTCGAAAACAACCGGTTTCTCGAAGGGTCACCGGCATAGAGGACAACTCTGGCAACGGCAAACGGTACAGCGAAGTGTTTCCCGGCCAAGATGCTACCAGTAAGAGGACAGAAATTATTGTCACCTGTCCTCTGTCTGGATCTTTAGCAGATTATTGTCCAGTCCCAACTGTAAGGGGAACAAAAGGTGATCCTGTCTGAATTAGCCTATCGAAGAGTGGTCCATAGATTCCCTCTTTCAACTTACAGAAGGGAGGAGCATTCTCCGTGTGTATCCCTCTTAGCTAGATTGGTGCTGAGGGGCTCACATTCTCTTCATGTTGATTTGACAGTTGTGCTACAGCAAGCATAAGCAATCACAGGCGATTTGAAACAAACATACAGTAAACAAGTGTCCCAAATTCATGCATTTGATTAAATTGATTATAGAATCTTGAGCTTCGGGCATCTTCAGACTGAGCGATAGTTACACTCACACACACTTTGGCACAGAGTCTTCCCTTTGAGGGATTCTGCAAACGACCCGGATGCGCAATCCTCGTGGACCTGCCCAACAAACTTGACACGAGTTGCTTGCTGCTTCCATCGCATCCAGAACGAATGCAACTCCAGGTGCTGCTGTTGGCAGCGTCGGATTCGAGCAGATGGAGTTCGTAGGTCTCTCCCTGCAGGGCTGGTCAAGTCAGGGTTGGTCAAGCTCCGTTCCTCCAATCTTTTGTTAAACGTGAGTGCCCCAACCCTGAATGTGCGAGCCGCCTTGTGAGACTTTTGGATTATGCATGGCATAGCCAGCTCTTAGGTAGCACAAACAAACATCACCTGCTGCTTTTTTGAAGCTTCCTTGTTCCAAGTTCCAGGTGACTTCGTAGATTCTTAAGATCTGTAACAACTTCAATCGGCCTCCAAACCAGCATTGATACAAGCTACACACCTGTCAGTCACTGCCACAGCCTATACACCCGTGGATTAAGTTTAGATGTTTTGATTACATAATGATTTCACCTATGGAACATCCCCACTCTCAATGGACAGTTCTGGGAGTCCCTTCTCAGCCTTCGATCCGACGTAGTATCCGGTCCTTAATTTGGGCCAACCAAGCAATACTGGCTATCCATGACCTCAAGGGAATGTGTCTATATGTATTTATTGTATGTTAATTACACTGTTTGTTATCACTTTGAATTTCTCTCTCACACACACAGAAACGACGGCATCTCATTCGTAGCTTCTGTTCATCCACCTGCGCGAACAGTGACCACTTTGCTCCTGGAATCGTGAGCCGTCCCACGTGCAAACCCCGCCATAGTAGGGTGAACCATCTTACTCCTGTACATGTTGCATCTATGGGAGGCCATCGCTATTATACACATATATATATATATATAGAAACAAGACAAAATAGAGGAAGAAATCCAAGCAGGCACCTTGATGGTGTGGAACCAAACAATCCAGTCCTGAGGAGAAAGTAAAGCGATCCTCCCTGTTACGAATACCATTGCCCTCTGAAACATGTTTCGCCAAACAGCGGGCGATGGTCCCACACTTGTGACAGGCTGTTGTGAGTGCAACTGGGAGGCAAAATCGTCTCGTGCAAGGTTGCCAGTAGCTTATTCTCTTCTGTCCGTGACGGCACCTGCGTCGGCACCTCGCGGCCGTATCGAGGTTCCGTGATAAGGTTAAGTTCAATATCTGGGTATATAGGCCGCAAAACATCCGCCAGACCAAAGCTGAGCAAACTCCCTGCAGTGAGACACTTGGCAGAATGAATTTAAAGTATTTGCACGCATTCTGAGAAAGAACACTTTGACAAACATGTCATTAAATACAAGTCGAGTCGCTGCTCGTACAGCACTAGGTCACTAGGTGCTTTCAATATGTGGATCCGCAAGACACACGCTCAAAGATTCTCAAAAGCTATAACTTCACAACATACTACCACACAACTCTAGTACCTAATCGGAGCAATTACTTTTCTCCTTAGGTTCCAGGCAGGTTCAGTTCCAGTCATCTCTGGAACAACAACAACAACAACAACAACAACATCAACATGTGAAAGCATGAAGCCAATTTCCCCGAATCATCAAGGGTGGTCTTAGCAATTTGATTTTCTCAATCAGAATCATCACTTCTCCCAGAGCTGCAGCAACATCTCGTTCTTTGAGCCCCAACGTCTTCAAAGATCTTCAAAGCAACCGGTGGATTCGATCCACAGCAAGAAAGTCATCGCATGACTATCATGACTGATCGTGTCAAACCAAGACCAGGAAATCTCTCCAGCCAACCCCCCCGGCAATAGATTTCCCCAAACGGTTCCCCCAACGGCCCATGAGAAGCAGTTTCCTCAACGGCTTTCTCCACCCCCAAGCCAGCGTCCGCTCTCGCCGGGTTGCCTTGCGCTCGCTTTTGGCCCCGATGGGTGTCGAGTCCCTGGCAGCAAGGGATGAATCGTCCAAGGTAGCAAGGGTCGGTGGAGAACAGGCAAGATGCTGAGAGGCTGAGAGGATGTAGTATCATTCGATCCGTGCGCACTTTGGCTCCGAAAACGATCCACAACCCAAACCCACCTGCCGGATGGGAGAGATGCTGTTGAACGGACCCTTAGATGAGATACTGGGTGGCATTGGGACTTGACCCCATGATCTGTCAAATACCTGCATGGTCCAAAAGCTCCTATTGTTCTGTGTCACAATTATCTCTCTCACCTCACCAGACCCAAGATTTGGCTTTCCGTAGTTGTCTAAGAGAGGAAATTCTCCTCATTGCTTCTTCTCATCTTTCCAAACCAGCGGCCCCAGTAGCGACTTGCCTCTTCCGCCAACGACCAACAGTCGAGGACATCGCTAGCACCTGTGACCAGGACACACCGACCTGGAACACACCCACCTACAAAAACAATGATCAAGCCCTGGGAGTGTTCATGTTGAGAGGGCACCTTGTGTTGAAAACATGCCAAGAACCAAAAAGGTTCTCCAGCGAAGTGCGCCGAAGTCTGAAAAGTTAGGGTGAAAGGAGGTTGGACACCATTGCGACAGGCTAGTGGATGCACATGGTGAACCTAAGTAGAACACTTTGAGGGGCATATTAACTTTCTCTATTTCATTCTATTTTGGGATCAGTACAGTGAACAACCGCTAGCAGTGGATAGATAGTGTTTCCACATGTAATATCCTTAGACTCAGACAGAAGGCCTGGTTCTAAACTTAAACAGGGCGAAAAACTGGGACCAATGTAATTAGTTGCCATGGGATCAACATGCTTTGTAGGCAATGCTTCGCCAGCCTGTAGACACCAAACAACAGTCCAATCACCCGTCGAGCGCGGGGCCAACGGCCTCTACAGCTGATTTCACAGGCAATTTCAAAAAATAGGTGGATTTGCTGGAATGGCCGCAGAGATGCATCTTTGTCGGCAGTCTTCTGACAAATGGGTCTGTTGCCTCGATGTTTTCTGGGCTTGGGGCGAGGGTCAAAATTCCAAAGACATGTTGGGCACTCTAACAGGAGTTGGACCACCAAGCAATCGTGGTTGTCTCAAAATGAGGGGAAGGGGGACAATTCTTCTTCTGTGTGGCCAACCGATGCGAAAACGATCGATCACATATCTCAGAAACTATATCTATAAACATGTGGTCTTACATCAGGATTAAACTCCAAGTGGCCACAAGGCCGACATCTAACAAAGAACATGACACCTCTCCTGCTTGTATGCCTTGGCATGCAGAATGGGGGATTGATCCCGTGTTACCAAAATATCTCTGAAAACTCCTTGGATCTTTGCTCCAAGATCTGCAATTCAATCTTATGGAACGCCATTCTAAGCATCAATCATCCGGCAAGAATGCTGCTCTTTGTGGATGCGAACGTCTGAGATCGCAGAGGAGTCAAAGTCTCTGAGCTCTCAAGCCAGGCATCTTTCTTCTATGCCAAGGCCAAGCATGTCCCGAAACAAAAAGAGATCCTCCCTCTGCAACGGCAGCTGGGAAGTGGCCGGACAGTCCATCAGTCTCGTCAACTGGGATCGACGTTGGCCCCAGGGTGCTCGATCTTGCTCTCACTCCATGCCGAGAAAGGAGTTTGTATCTTTCAACGTCAGGAAGAACCCATGTGAACATTCAAACAGTTGTGGCTTACAGTTAGGAGGTCAACATTCACATCCATCTGCCTTTGTGTAGGTTGTTCCCTGCATGTTACTTTTGATACACTTGGTGCACTGCCAGTGCTAGTTGTTGCTACGATCGTTTTGAACGAAAAGCAAGCACGTACGAGACCAGGACAAGGGCGACTTGCATCCCTGATCGGCCCACATTGGGCTCACATATGCTGAAAATTGCTGAAAGAACCATGGTATTCATGGAGTTCAAATCACACAAATACTGATAGACTGATAGACTCTTGCAAGACCCCGTAAGGCCTCGTCAGGCCCCATCACGCCCCACCACACACCCGGAGCCAGGATTCGTCGATCCGACGGGCGCCCAGTGAGGTGAGTTTCAGTCTCAGGCCATGTGAGTGCGGATCAAATATCAATAAGATTCAATAAGTATCGGCAACCAGTGGTCCAAACACGTAAAAGTCGAACGCATCGACACAAATTTAGCCTGCCACTTTCGAAGGTAGGCGGGATTCACTGGGTGAAGCTATCAAGGAAAACACATCTGGTGAGTTTCAATAGGTTTTGCCACTGCCATATGAGTGTGTGTATCAGCCGACACCATGACATCATGACATCAGAACAATTCGCGGATCTCTACGAAGGAAATAAACACCCAAGATGTCTGCATGCTTGACCTACACCCACATCCTTTGGGCCTTCGTTTGTGCGCTTTAAAAGAAAATAGGCACTCAGCGGCGCCAGAGCGGCAACGTGGGGGGAGCCACTCGGCGGCTCTCCCAAGCCTGGAGAATGGATCAACATGGATCTCGGGGGCAGTAGCGTGGCCAGTGGTGCCAGTGGGTCCTCCGTCTTTAAGACACACACACACACACATGATACACTTATGTGCTCTGCAGCTTGTTTATTCTGATCTTGAAGCACTGGGCTTCAGGGATGAGGCAACCCTGGAGGATGGTATTTTGTTATAAGGTTTTGCCAGACCACACAACCCTCTGCTGGTTTGGATTATTCTGGAAGCGTCATGCCTTCTTAGCATACCTTTTACATCCCTTTACAAAGGTTTGTCCAAATGCTGGAAAACACCTGCGTGCGATTTGGGACAATTGATATTCCGTGGTTTGAATCCAAAGGTTTTCAAGGATCACTTGAGGCAGCACTTCATCAGCTAGGAATAGAAACCTCTGCTTTCAACAATACAAACTCTTTGGTGGTTCTACACACATATGTAACATTAGTGTTACAGGGGCTTGCAAAATCATTTTCATGTTCCGTCTCTTCAAAATGCAATCTTTGCTACAAACTCTGGGCCCACATGGCCTGTGAGCCGGACCATCATCCGAACACTTCGCAAGCGACGCGATCGCACGCCACAGAACCTGCTGAAGGATCTCAAAGAGCTCTTCCAGCGCCACTGAAGATGTCGTGGAGATCAACTGATCGACGTCCTGTGGACCGACTCGGCACTTTAGGTCGGTCCGTGGAGACTTTAGTTTCTTATGCACTTCTCACCGATGGACAGAATCCACTTTTTGTCAGGAGATTTTCTTATTCCCAAACCCCGCACGCAGTGTCCACGCCTGGGGCGTGGCAAAAATGTCCAGGCGCCGTAGGGTTTCACTCAGCTCGAAGCGGTCGATGACGCGATTGGGCACGAAGTGCCGTGGCACCTTGTAAGGCGTTGGCGAATTGCCCGGTGAAGTTAGAGTAATGTGTTCTGTGGAGTGGGGTTTAGAAGAATAGTTGAAGGGATGTTCTTGAACAACATGTGGGGTTAGTGGTGAAGAATCTACAGCAACAGCTTCAGATTGAAGGACAGCAACCCTCAAGAAACCTAGAGTGATCAGGGTTACGCAGTGAGGGTAGAAATCCGGAAATTCTCTTGAACGAATCTTTCAACAGTCAGCATCGCAACGTATTAGCCCCAGCCCTGGCCCATCACGCCTTTCCGTATCTGCTTCCTTTGAACTGACCATCGGCAGCCTTTCACTCAAGCAATTGGAAATCACGACACTCAGAGTGTTAGCCCATGCATTTGGTCGTGTTTACCGTCTATGTGAGGTCTCACTGCTTGTAGACCAAAATCAATACACAGATTGATCACGAGAAACCCATCAAAAGCGGAAGCTGGTTGGACTGAAGGGAGACTGCAGCTGATGCTCTTCAGAGTTTGCTTGCTCTGCATTCCTGCATAGGAATTAACTGGGTTTACCATGGTTTACCACCGGATGGTGGAGAGGAATCACTGCACACTATCATCTTCACTCAAGACGTTTCCAGAGACCCATTCTGTGAGTATAAGGATTCACGACCTTAACAACCGTCAGCATTACCGTCCATCACGACCAATACATTCTAAATCTTTATACCGTCATAACACACACACACACACGCGCGCACCTGCAACGACATGAACAAAAATGTTCAGGATCTGACTTGTCAGGACGTGTTGATCCTGGAAGTCCAAATTGGTTGCTTCTCTCCTGGTCGCTCAACTTTGTTCAGACCCTATGCCTTTCATAGCCCTACCAGCAATCAATTTGTCAGGAATGAAAGATCTAGAACACTCAAGTCACTCTATGCAACTCAATGCATCAACACAACTGGCTCGGATCGTTTTCTTTGAAACACCCCGATCCTCCAAAGACTCCGAAACGCCAAAAAGCCACCGCATTGGTCGAGGGACTCGAAAGAACCACTGTTGCAGTCCCGAGGGCCGAAGCTCCTTTCTTGGCTGGGTACCATTGCTAGATGCTTGAAGGCTTGTGCCACTTGTGCTTGTGCTGTTTGGGGATCATGATGCGTCATGCCATGTCATGCCATGTCCTGCTCCCCTTTCAAGGCAACCGAATGCTACAGTCCCCGTAACTCCACCCGTGTCTTCGATCGAGTCGTCCGCACTCCGCACTCCGGCGGACCTGGTGGAAAGTCTCCACATCGCGGATCCGTGTGCCGAAGAGCCGCACAGAAGCATCCAGCCTGCATCCGAAGCCAACCGCGAGCGGCCCAGGCCCGAGGCATTCATCATGTTGTCTGTGGCTCCACCAGTTCCCACAGAAACTATATGAGAACCTGATCTCTCCAAGTGAATTAAATCCAACTGTGAGTTGTACGCTGTACAACATGTTTTCACTTGAAGCACACCCGTCCGCACCGCAGGGCGGGCTCATGAGTCTAAAACAGGTTTCGGCCGCAACGCGCTCGCGCGCGTTCCAATTCGTTGTGCGGTGTGTCTTGGCCACGACTTTGTCTACCTTGGTTTCTACCTGGGCCTCGACTTTACACCCTACGCTACGTTGGACCTCGTTTGCCATCGATAGCTTCGCATTGGTAGCGGAGCCCAAACCCGTGAAGGGGGAGGGCTCCAGCTGCGCACTCCGGTTCCTCGAGCCGCACGCTCTCGACAAGTCCTTCGGTGACTTCCCTCTGCGGACTTGGCCACGCTCCTGTTTCCTGAGTTCTTTGTTGGACACCCTTTTGGGAGGAGCACGGCGGAGATCTTTGTCCCACAGAATGCCGCCGCCAAAGCAGCAGAAGGGAGATGGAAGAGGAGCGTCGAGCTCGACGACATCCAAGCCAGATGAGACTGGCTATGCTGACCTTCGGGACTCCTATGTTCCCCTCTTCTCCGGGCAGCCGGCCGACTACAAGGAGTGGCGTCAACGCATCCAGCTCTACCACCGCAAGATGTCGCTCTCCAAACGGTCCCAAGAGAGTGTTTTGAACATTGTCGGATCGTTCAAAGGTGTAGTCTGGCGCCTATTCGAAGACTGGGGTATCGACAAGCTGGAGAAGGACAACGCCTTTGAAGACATGCTCAAGGTGTTGGATGGCAATTTCGCCTACGACCAACGGGTCCAGTTGCCATCGGACTTCGAAGGCTACTTCTCAGGTCTTCAACGGCTCCCTGGTCAGACGCTTCTCACCTACGTCAATGACCACGAAGAGGCCTACAGGAAGCTCTTGGCACACAAGGTGAGCCTTCCTGATGAAGTCCAAGGTTGGCATCTCCTCCGTCGTGCAGCGCTGACGAAAGAGCAGCGACAACTCCTGATGCTGAAGGCACCCACCCTCGAGAAGGCCACAGTCATCGAGGCCATGTATCTGATTCTCGGACAAGACTATAAGGGTGGAGGTTGGAACCACGACCGCAACCGGCGATTCTCCAAGTGGACCAACAAGGCCTACACTGCTCAGGATGATTGGGAGGAGATGGATGAAGAACCAGTCTGGGAGGAGACTGGCTACTACGAGGAGGACTACCCCATTGGGGACTATGACCATGAGGAGGGTGATTTTGATGATGAAGCTGGTTACTATGGAGGTCAGGACGATGATGCACCCTGGCCAGACTCCAATGAGACCACGAGTCCAGAGCAGATGGCTGAAGAGTTTGACACTGCCTTCGCCTCCTACACAGACGCTCGCAAACGCTTCAATGAGTTGAAGATGGCTCGTGGCTTTCTCCCTGTGGTTGCACTCACTGAGCAACAGCCTCTGCAGACAGCAGCTTCTTCGTCCTCATCCCCTACGGCATCCTCATGGCAGAGAAAAGGAAAAGGAAAAGGGGGAAAGAACAAAGGAAAAGGTCGTGGCCCCTCGGCGACCATTCGATTCTCCCCACAAGGTGCTGGAAAGAGTGATCCAAAAGGAAGAGCACGCGCCAACATGACGTGCCTTCGTTGTGGACAACAAGGTCATTGGGCTGCAAACTGTCCACAATCCAGCTCGCCTACCTCAAAGGGCTCAAGCTTGAAGCGACCTGCACCAACCGAGAGCACGGCACAAGTGGCTGAACAAGCCCTGATCATCTTCGAGGACAAGAACGGCACTCAGCGTCCTGACTGTGTGATGCTGGATCCTGGTGCCAGTGCCTTTCTCTCAGGATATGGTCCCTTCCGTCGCTACTTGGAGCACCTCAAGTTCGACTGCAACTTCCCCATTGAGAAGATTGCCATGACCCAAGGAAAACGAAGATTCCAGTTCGGTGGCGATGCTGCACCCTGGTCTACCTGGTCGGCACACCTCCCAGTGTTCCTGGATGGTCGCTATGGAACAGTGCAGTTGTTCCTCTTGCCCGGCAACACGCCTATGTTGTGCGGTCGCCCCATCATCGAGGCTCTTGGCATGACCATGGACTTTGCCATGAAGCGGATCCGCATTGGCAGTTCAAGTTGGCAAGAAGCAACCATTGGCCGTCAAGGTGAGTATTTGCTCTCGCTCACGATGGAACACGACCTTATGCAGTACGACCCTGACCAGCCTGACTTCGCCCTCAAGACCGCTGAACCTGATCCACCGCAGATTGATGGCTTCACCCTGCACGACTTTGAGCAGGAGGAACAAGGGTTCACAGTCAGTGAACGAGCTGAAGTGGTGGACGACACTGCCACCAAATGTCTCCGACGACATGACCTCAATACCATGGACGTGCAGCTCAGGACTCACCTCAATGAGCTGTCAGCCTATGTGACACGTCACCTACATCCTCCAGAACAACAGCCGAAGCGTGTCCTATGGGAGGTCAGCTCGCACTTCACAAGTGGCTGAAGCGCTGGGAATGAGTGTTCGATGCTTTTCATTGGATACTGGCTGGAACTTCGAACGACTTGATCATCAAGAAGCCTTCCTTCGTGAGCTCGATGAAGAAGCACCAGACGAGTTGCTCATGGCACCTGAGTGCAAGCTCTGGAGCCGCATGCAAACCCTGGCACGAAGAACACCTGCACAGCAAGAAGCACTGATTGCAGCTCGACACCATCACCATGATCGTCATCTGCGCTTCGTACGCCGTGCCTACCTCAAGCAGGTTGAAGGTGGACGACACGCCCATGTGGAACAGCCCAAGCATGCGCTCTCCTGGAAGACCAAAGCACTTCGTGACTTACCTGGTCGACGCGCCGACTTTGACCAATGTCGCTATGGAGCAACATGTCAAGATGAAGACACGGTCTGGCGCCCAGTCAAGAAGAGCACCACCATCACGACCACCAAGCAGGCCATGCAGAATGCCCTCACGCTGACGTGCAATGGTGAACATGATCACTGTGCACTGGAAGGATCTGCTCTTGGTCTTGGCCCTCGCACCAAGTACATGGAGAACTACCAGCCTGCACTTGCAAGCACCATTGCTTCTGCACTTCTCATCGATGAAGCACCTCAAGCTTGGGAGACGGCGCACACGTCTTCAGAGCAGAAGCTGGTGACTGGCAACTTGGTCAAGCTGCGTGTTGATACGAAACAAGAGGCCATCCGAGTGGTTCAACGTCTCCACAGAAATCTTGGTCATCCTTCCACGAAAGAGCTCACCGAACTGCTGACCGCTCGAGGAGCGAATGAAGAAGTACTTCGTGCTGCACGTTCCTATGTCTGTGTGGCATGCGCCAAGTACAAGAAGCCTGCAGATGCTGCACCGGCATCTCTACCTGTGAGCACCACGTTCAACGATGTCTTGCAGGCAGATGTCTTCTGGCTGCGTCTCAAGAATGCCGTCAAGTACCCCGTCCTCAGTGTGGTCGACTTGGCAACTCGCTACACAGCAGCTGTCTTGTTGCGCTCAGAGCAATCCGAGGAGCACATTCGTGGTCTTGAACGTTGCTGGATTGCACACTTCGGAGCCCCACAGCGACTTGTCACTGACGAAGGACGAGGATGGCTCAGTCAGACCTTTGAGACCTGGACCAACGCCCACGGCATTGAGCACACTGTTGCCCCTGGTGAGGCACATGAACGTCTGGCCATCGTTGAACGAAGACATGCCATCCTTCGCAAGTCCATTGAGGTCTACATGGATGATATGCAGCTGAACGACGCCTCTGGCATCAAGGAGGCGCTCACCTACTGTGTGCCCCAGATGAATGGCACGCCTTCAGTTGCTGGCTTCTCTCCGACCCAATGGGTTCTTGGACACCAACCTCAACTTGCTGGCAGTCTTCTTGGTGACAACTTCCGCCCTGGACACTTTGGCGGACATGAAGCCTTTGAGGCCATGTTGAACAAGCGCACCGCTGCTCAGAAAGCTTTGATCGAAGCTGATGCCGATCGTCGCCTTCGACGTGCTCTTGGTGCCAAGTACAAAGGCTTGAACTCCGAGTACAGCCTTGGTCAACAAGTTTGGTTTTGGCGTGACGCCAAACAGCCCGATCTGGTGAAGATTCGTTGGCTTGGCCCTGCCCAGATTGTCATGAAAGAGTTCAAGGCTGATGACACTGGACAGCAGCGAGTGAATGTATACTGGCTGGCCTACAAAAGCCAGTTGATTCGCTGCGCACCTCACCACGTTCGTGCTGATGTCAAAAGCTCAGGACATGCCCTGGATGATGTGCAGAAAGCTCTCACTTCTGTACGGCAGCTCAAGTCTCGAGGAGTGACCAGGTACTATGACCTGCACCACTTGAACAAGCGCAACCTCGCAGAGGTCGAGACAGATGAGCACTCCGAAGAGCTTCATGGTGATGTGATGGAAGAAGACTCTGACCATGAGATGACACCACCAAGACGACGACCACGTCTACTGCCACCTGGCGTGGAACCTCCTCAGGCCTCAGAAACTGCTGCGGGACCGACCTCCATGCCACCTGGCATTTCATCGGCGGCACCGGCAGTACCCTCGGCTGAGGAGTACGAACCAACATCACCAGCGCACACAGAGCCACAAGACATAGCACCACCAGCGGCAGCGGCAGACACAAACGACACGGCAGCGGCAGATACACAAACCCCAGGTCCACTACCACGGGTCCCAAGCTCGATCTCAATATCCGAGCCAAGCGAGGAGCCGCCTGCTATCTCGGCAGCTCCAACACCTCATGCATCACGACCACAAGCAAGCATGACCCAAGAGCGACCGTCGCTCGATCCGGTGACCGCCCAACTGTATGAGACAGTTGAAGGTGAAACCTTTCAGCAAAGGAGAGCTCGACTGAACAAGCAGGAGACTCTCAGCTTCGCGCCTTTCCGAAGCAGACCGAAGCCACCTGACACGAGGCCATACGATCCTGAACATCATCCACCTCGACCAAATGACGATCATGAGCTAGCTGGCCAGGCCTTCTACCTGGACGACCTGGACACCAAAATGCTGCCTAGCGGATGGTTCATGGATGAACATGGATTCCTCCAACTACATGATCGCGCCACCGACTACTGGGAGCTGAAAGCTGGCTGTCTGATCAGGCATCATGTTGTGCCCCGTCGTGGACGCCTACACCTTGAGCATCTTCCCAAGAATTGCCCGGTCAATCCTGACCAGCTGGACAGTGTGCGCGTGACACTGATTCACCAAGGTGGAGGCAAGAGCCGTTTGACCACTGACAGCGGCTATGATGGCAGTCCTCCCCCTGGAGTTGAACACACTTGGACTGGAGCAACCATCTTCCAGCTCAACGGCAATACTCGCAGAGAACTTGCTATGTACAGTGGACACCAACAGTTCACAAGTGCAAAACAGCAAGGAAAGGACCAAAAGCTCGCCAAACAGAAGAAGTTCAAGAAGGACAAGAGCGCCGTGAATGAGCGGGCATTGGGTCCACAAGAGCGAGCGATGTTCAAGGAGGCCAAGGTGAAGGAATTGAAAAGTTTCTTTGACCACCATGTGTGGATCTTCCAGTCCACCAAGGAGGCAGACCCATCCAGGACTTTGACGTCAAGAATCCTGTTGAAGTGGTCTCGGAACCCTGACGGTTCTCCAAGGGCGAAAGCTAGATTGATCGTGCGCGGTTTTGCTGACCCCGACGCCCTGGCTGGAAGCATTGAGACTTCGAGTCCTACCACAACTCGCCTGTCTCGCTCTATGTTGCTGTCCTTGGCCACCACCATGCACTGGACCACCTGGACCGCTGACGTGAGCACCGCCTTCTTGCAGGGGCGTGAACAGGACAGAAAGTTGTGGGTAAAGTTGCCATCGGAAGCGCTGGCTCTCTTGGGTGCAGATGAAGACACCCGCATGTTGCTTCTGAAGCCCTGCTACGGCCAGATCGATGCGCCCAGAGGCTGGTATCTTGAGGCAGTTGACCGCCTTCGCCGTGGAGGTCTTCGGCAGCACGCCCTCGATCCATGTGCATTTCTCATCTATGAGACTGATGATGACAACTTCAATGAGAACGACCCCATCCACCAGCAGGTCAACTCACTGGGATCTGAACGCCTGGTGGGCATGGTCATCATGCACGTGGACGACCTTTTGGGAGCCGGCTGCCCGAACAGCCCTCGATATGCTGCAGTCGTTGAACAGCTCAAAGAAAACTTCTCCTTCCGGGAGTGGAAGGAAGATCTTGATGTGATGGAGTATTGTGGTTGTGAGCTGCAGCGCACGCCCGAAGGTGGAAGAAAGTTGCACCAAGGCAAATACTTTGACAAGGTCAAGCCCATTGCCTATGACAAGAAGCTTCCTCTCCACCAGCCGCTCAACGAGCGTGAAGTGACTCAGTTGAGGGGCCTACTTGGTTCGCTGCAGTGGCCTGCAGTACAGACCTCACCACACCTACAGTGCAGCACATCGTTGATGGCCGCCCATGTCTCCCATGCCACTCTGCAGACCGTTCAGGACTGTAACAGGTTGCTGAAGTTTGCAAAAGAGAACAAAGACATTGGCCTTGTCTACAACCACCTCGGTCCCACAGAGAAGTTGCGTCTGTTGTGTTTCTTTGATGCTGGTTTTTCCACTCGCCTCGACGGGTCATCACAAGGTGGCTATGTGTTGATGATGGTCAACGAGGACCTCATGCATTCCGCCGAGGAGGGAGAATATCACATTTTGGACTGGCGCAGCTTCAAAACCCCAAGGGTGGCAAGGTCATCTTTGGGAGCTGAGGCACAAGCTGGCGGTCAAGCCAGTGACGCCGTCGACTTTGCTTGTCGGTTCTGGCACCATCTCATGGAGCCCCACATGCCCTTGAAGCAGTTGCTGGAGGTTCAGTCCTCCCTGAAGCCTGTGATGATCACAGATGCGAAAGCTCTTTACGACGCTTTTCATCGTGAAGGTGCAAGCTCATCCGTCGTGGACAAGCGTGTGAGCCTGGAGATTCGTGTGATGAAGGAGCGCTTGCTGGAACTTGGGGGAAACCTCAAATGGATGAGCAGCGATCGTCAGATCGCCGATGGCCTGACTAAGGAATCTGCTCGAACCTTGTTTGCAGCTCGCCTGAAGCACCAAAAGCTGAAACTCACCTGGGATCCCACCTACAAGGCGATGAAGAAAAAGACCAAAGACGAGAAGAACACAGCCTTGGCTGAGACAACCTCCCAGGTTCATCATCAGAAGCCTGATGACTTCATTCCCAGGTCCGAGGAGATCATGGAAGAGGAGTTTGTTGGCCCGGAGGAGTTTGTGAACTTTGTTCACTCCACGGAAATGATTCCGTATGTCCTCGCCACAAGCCATGGCGTGAAGAGCCGCATGAAGTATGACACCAAGGGTCGCTCGAAGAATTTCATGTTTTGGATGATTTTCTTGTTTTTGCTGCAGTGCTGTCAAGCAGCACCTTCTACGTGTTTGGCGGAGGAACCACCGCCACCGCCACAGCTGAGCGATGAGCACTGGTTGGCCCTCTTTGCAGCAGCACCCTTGGCGATTGCAGTGATCGCCTTCCTGCTAGGCCGATGGTCGAAAGGTGAAAAGAAAGAGAAGGAAGAGATTGAAGAGGAGAAGGTGACCACCGCTGACGCCTTCACTCAGAAGGATGAGCCTGTTGTCCATGCACGACTTCGGGAAGCCCTGAAGACCGAGCAGGCCAGAGTGAATGAGTACAAGATGGCAGCTCGCGAGTCTCGCCGAGCTGTGGATTTGGCCATGACGGAGATCCTCAACCTTCGTCCGCTCGTGCAGGATGCTGCACCCATGTTCCGTCGCTTGATCACCGCGATGGATGATCACATGGACCAATGCCCGCACCGACAGCCGATCGTAGCCTCCAAGAAGAATGGCATCTGCTGGCACTTTCCCACGTGCCATTGTGCGGAGCAGATCACCGAGCCGAACTTGCTGCAACTCCGCATCTGTGCCTACTGCGGAGATCATCGCAGTCCGCTCGACTTCCCGAGTCCAAATCCCTCTGTCTCGCAGGGAAACTGCTTGAGAGAAGAGGTGACGACGTGGCTGGCTGACTACAATGTCTGCCGGTCATGGTTTTCCGACCCTGAGCACAGGTAAGAACATCGCCTGTGTGAGTTGTACGCTGTACAACATGTTTTCACTTGAAGCACACCCGTCCGCACCGCAGGGCGGGCTCATGAGTCTAAAACAGGTTTCGGCCGCAACGCGCTCGCGCGCGTTCCAATTCGTTGTGCGGTGTGTCTTGGCCACGACTTTGTCTACCTTGGTTTCTACCTGGGCCTCGACTTTACACCCTACGCTACGTTGGACCTCGTTTGCCATCGATAGCTTCGCACCAACCATCTAACAAATACCCTGAGCCTGTTCATAAAAAACCAATGTTAACATATGCCAACAAACCCCACTCCAACCACATGACCGGCTAGGCCCCCCGGCTTCGCTGCCAGCTGTCGGGCGATGCGGGCTTTCACGGTAAGGCCCGCCTGGGAGTTCAACTTGCTGGGTGGAGTCGCGGAGCCGTGGGTAAGGCATTGAGCCTTGGACCCCAAGTAGCAAGGACGCTACTAGGGGCTCCTGGCCTTACTACTAGGAGCAAGAAGCTACTAGGGGCTCCTGGCATCGCTACTAGGAGCAAGGACGCTAGCATGGCCATCTCGCCAAAGTCAAACGCTGGTTCACCCAGTGGTCCAACCAGGGGTCCAATAGCTCCCCACACCCGTCGCATCCACATCTAGCTTCAACCCGATTGAACGGTTTCCTTTTGGAAAAGGTGTACGATTTGAATCGGCACCGAAAAAGCATCACCGAGACCCAGAAAATGACAATTGGAGAACTGATGGATCCAATCCATCACCACCAAACTCGGAGATGTTGCCGAGAAGCTGGGCTCCTCTCCCTACCTCGGCTTGGAGACCTGACATATTCAGGACGGATGTGCGAGACTGAAGATCCAGTTCAGATGTGTTGTTTCCACCTTTAGGTTGGCACTGGAAGGTGGTTCACTTGCCAGAAGTCTGGAATGTGTATTCATGGATTGATTGACCGCATTGCGGGATTCAACTTGAACATGCCTTGCTCAGCCTTACTTGGTTCGGACATGATCGAAAACCTGACTCCATGACCTCTTCTTTTGACTGCCATGTGGCACGATGAGGTCTGAGTCCGCAACACCAGCACCCTCATTTGTGCTCAGCAATATCTTTATGCTAGGCCGGCCAAGGATCAGAATGGATTCAAGTACCAAATGATCACCACAGTGGCCAACTGGAAATGATTAGAGAAAGACAACGTCTGCCGCAATACCATTGGTCAAAGGAGAAGCAAACGAAAACCCTGCAGACTCTCCAGTAACGGTCGATATTTCAAGCCACTTCCAAGTTGTATTCCCAGCACGAGGTAAAGGCGTCTAGAGTCCTTTAACCTCCCCACCGGTCTTCATCCTTTGAGGACCAGGAGACTCTCAGCAATGTCCACATGAATCAACACTTCAACCTCTTCAGCATCCATGTTGATCAGGTCAGTCATCCAGCAACAACCCAGTTCACAGTTGGCCTCATCTCCGGCTCAGGGTGCGGGATCCTATGACAGCTGTCACGAGCTGATCAGCAGTTAGCAGTTGTTGGATTTTGTTGGACGACGCTTTTGCGAAACACCAACATCAAATAACAGTAATGGGTTGGAAAGCCCACGAACAAAACATTGAATCGACAGCTTGGTTTGGAAGCTTGATGGGGACCTTTGGGTTTGGGATCCACAGGAAGGACTACAACTGAATGAACAAAAACGAAGCCAATGCTGCCCAGAGTCTCAAACTGGTTCCTCACCGAAGGAGACTCTCACTCGGATTGTAAATAGCATTGGAAGGGCATGAATTTGTCATTTGGCATGTCAATTGACTCAGTGCATTATACCACTTGCATATCTAGGATGCAAGCTGGTTCCAATATGGACCTGTCTCAGCATGGACACTCCAAATATATTTTTTCCAGCATTGAGTTCCTCCAAAAGTCATATGGGAGTCTTTTGGGGCTCGTGACTAAGAATGGCTTTCAGGATTAAACCATTCGTCAACTTCATCAACTTGTTCAAGCACACAAAAGGATCAAGCCATTGATTTTTCAGGGACGTGGCAACCTCAAATGGGTTCGTCGAACCTAATGATCTAAATCTTGAACGCTTTCGAAGATTCGCCTGCCCGGTCTGAGACATACCAGTGTGACTAGAACCTCCTACGCGTGCGGCAAACACGGAACACCCCATCCCTCCTCCTTCCCATCGGTTCTGCAGGAACAAATGGCGGCGCAGGTGCCCTGGCTGAGTCGCTGCGAGATCCCAGGAGAGTTGGGATGTCACACACAGCAGGAGATACAGTATCCTTGTCTTATTTTGTATCCGTCCAAAAATAGAGTTCCTTGTGTTTTGCCACTGAACATCACACCAAGGCCAATTGGCATTTGTTTTCTTTATGACCATCAAAAGTCCCCAAATTTGGCCCGAGCATCCTGACCACTGGCTCCACAACAGGTGGCCTGGCTGAGAAAGTGCAAAACCGTCAAGTAGCAAACAGGACCACCATTGGATCATGGATCATTGAGATTGGATGAGATTGGAACATCCACTCCACATGACGATCCAATTGGGTAAACCTCAGATTCTCATCATTGCGATAACTTATCGGGGCATACTACAAGCCAACACAAGACACATATCCTTGGGTGTAGATTCTACTGCCCATGATCCATAATCCTTCATGGGTAGAAACTGCTGAAGAAATCGTCCCCGTCACCAATGTTGGACTACTGTTCAGTATACTGTTGAATGCCACCACTCCACCCACTTTGACCCAAACCATGATAACCATGCAGATTTTGGACAACTCTCAGGTACTCAAAATAGTGCTTTTTCTTCTTTCATCCATGCAAACTATGACCAACTATGTTTTAGGCTTTAGACGGTCTTAGAATATGCATCTGATCACCATCGGCCCAACCGACCACAGCGGGGAAGTCTGCCTCACCACTGGTTCCCAAGCGGGTCTCCTTTGATCGGATCCGATCAAGCTCACCAATGGCGACCGCTTGGTGGAAGTGACTCATGTATTTCAATTCGTGGGGTCACCATCGGTGATTGCCAATGTTTTAAGCATGGTTTATTCTTGTGGATCTTAGCGACCTTTTGAACCTTGCGCTCTATTTTCGCAGCTCATTATATAGTTGTCTTATGTTGTCTTCACATCCTTGGAAGACTGCTCTGAGCACCCAGTTCACCAATGTTCTCCAAGTGCGTTGTACCCTTGAACTTGAGTTTGCAGCTCCAAAAACACACTCCAATATGAGCACCAAGAACGAGTCATCTACTTCCCACTAGCAAGGTGGTCAATAGAATCAAAGAACCCTGAGATATAGCCTCACGAGCTGGATTACTCTCGTTCCAACAATCAAATAAATATAAGCAAACAATCTCCCCTTTCTCTGCATCCTTTTGCAAACAGGTTTGCTTATTCCATGATAAATACACAGTAATGAATGGGTGCACCTTCTTTGTCGAGTCCCTCCCCCATCCAGCTCCGTCTCCTGACGACCGGCTCCACAGGGACCCTGGCAGACTGGAGTGCTGATCCCATTTAAATGTTCACATCGAATCCCAAACTATCCTAAACTGTGTCAAGAAGAAACACACACACACATATAAATAAATAAATCAAAACAATATATAGAGACAGCGTAGTATGTCATGTACGAGAGCTGAGTCATTTCACTACAGTTTCGTCACCTTCAGACTCTCATGGTAACCAAATCATGTTGTGAATTAAGACCTAATTAAGACCCTCAATCCATTTCAGTTTTCAAAGCCTGTAAACGTAACTCTACGTTAGGAGGGTCCAGCACCATGAATACTCATGGGATCTCATGGGGTCTTGGGGGCCCTAGTTGGTATAGTTGCACATGTGAGCTTCTTGTTACTAGTAGCAAGAATGCTCCTAATAGTACGGCCAGGAGCCCCTAGAAGCGTCCTTGCTCCTAGTAGCGATGCCAGGAGCCCCTAGTAGCTTCTTGTTGCTAGTAGCTTCTCATGATCGCATGCTTCATCATGCTTCTACGTCTTACGACGCTTCCCAGCCTCACCACAGGTTCCCAATCAGGCCTGGCAATCCGCGTCGTGACGTCGCAGTGATCTGTGTCTTTATAAAGGCACATCTGCAGATTCTCCTCCAGCCCTTCAAGGCCAGGATCGACTCGGGTAACTCGAAGGGATGAATGCGATAAGGCTTCTCATTTCCGCCTTGCGTAGGACTCCTCAGCCATCCTAGAGTTCCTCGGCAGAGGCCAGGGGCGATGATTGGGGAGCATACCACTTTCTGCTTCTTGCATGCTTTTTAGCTTCTCTGTCCTTGTGGGTTTGAGAGCCGCATCTCAGTTAAATCTGGTGAACTGGCGAGGAGCTCAAACTTGGAGGTTGCATAATTCAATACAAACGCACACCAAACTAGTTGAAAATCATCTCGGGGCAAACACATCGAGAACCATGACAACTTACCGCACACATATAAAAACTGCTGGTGGAGTCATGCGAACAGCAGCTCCTGCATTGCACTATCTGTGAAAACATCCCTTCAGCGTGTTTAGGTAGCTACAGTACGGCTAGAGATAGGATAGGCATGTGTAGACAAATACAATAAGAGATAGGTCGGTAAGTAGACAGATTTATTGGTAAGCAATCGTTCAAAAAAAAAGATATAAAATATATCTAACAATACTGTGGATATATATATATAGGTATAGTATATATATATAAACACAAATAGTAACAAAATAATACATAATATACATATTCAAATCACGATGTTGGTCCTACGATTCTGCGCAACTGGTGGAAAATGAAAATCCAAGACTCAGATCCTCCATCTTCTCCAGCAATTCTTCCATCAAGGCTGAATGCCGCTTGCGGGTCTGTGGCGATGGGAAGACCTCCTGTCTTGTGGCTGCCGTGCGGGTGCACGCGCCGTGCACATGCCGGTTTAGGCGGTCGACGATCAAAAAAAGACAACCAACATCGGATTTTTCAGCCGCACCAATTTCGATCATACAGGCCTTGTGCCATGCAGTGCACAGCGCCTACGGTGGGACGGTGTCTTTTGGAGACCCAGCCTCGAGCAAAAGCTCTACAATTTCAAGGTGGTGTTTCAATGTGGCTAACTGCAGAGCTGTTTTTCCAGATTCGGTTGCCTTGTTCATGTCAGCTCTTTCCTGGAGTAGTCGCAAGACAACTTCCAGTTGACCATTTTGGGCCGCCAAGTGCAAGGCTGTTGTGTTGGAACTTGTACCCTTGTCTTTGTCAGCACCAGCCTCTAGCAACAGTTGCATCACTTCAAGATGGCCACCAGTTGCTGCTAAATGCAAAGCTGTTAAACCGGAGATTGTGACCTTGTCTTTGTCATCGCCACTCTCAAGAAACAACCGTGCAACTTCTGTGTGGCCCTCCTTGGCTGCCAAATGCAAAGGGGTGATCCCTGAGGATGTAGCACCATCTCTGTCTCCTCCAAAATCAAGCAATAGCTGCACAACTGCAAGGTGGCCATTCACAGCGGCCACGTGTAAAGCTGTCGCCTCAGAATTCATCGTCGCGCCTATGTGAGCCTTGGCTGTCAACAACTGTCGCACAACTTCGTGATGGCCAGTTTCAGCCGCCCCATGTAAAGCTGTTTCCCCATTCATCGCGGGCGTCTCTGTGTGCGCTTTAGCCTCAAGCAAAAGCTGCACCACTTCCTGATGCCCCTCTCTGGCCGCCAAAGCCAAAGCAGCTTGATGACGGGGGAAAACCAAGTCCACAATCGTCTTTGTTCCAGCTTCCAATAACAAAGCGATGCAATCCCAATGCGAAGCGCCAACAGCAGCACGGACAGCATGTTCCAATGATTTTGGCTTAAGCGCTTCAGGATGCAAAGGCTCCTTCAACAGCGTTTCAAGCTCCTCTAACTTATTCAGAGAACATGCCCCATAGAGTTTCTCCGCGTCTCCATCTGCCGGAGGCCGGAACTCCAAAACGACCACCTGCACGTTCAATTCAGAAACCATTTTCAGTGCGGCCTCATCGTGGAATTCCGTGTGGTCCTCACCGAACCATCTCTGGCGGAATCTAGAGGCTCCGATCTGCTGGGCCAAACGTGTCTTCAACGATTTGAAGGTTTGCCCCTCCAACCGGTCGCTCCAACTGGCCAGTGGTTCCCCAGAAGCGGCCCACGCGAGGTGAAGCATAACGAAAAACAGGTCTGACGTGCGATACTAGGTGTCGGAAGGTTAGAAATATGCCTCCTAAAATATCCAAAAACGCATATGACATGTGACTCATACCTTTGGATGTCCCCTTGTCCTTGAGACACAACCATCTGAATCTGATGACAGTATTGTTCACCTGAAAGACCTGCATGTTCAAGAATGATTACTGCAATTATTGTAATCGATAGTATACTGCTATGATTCTATGATATACCATGGACTGATTCGATTGAGAAGCAAAAGTCATCCGGATCAAGAACATTCACCGCATTGGGCAGCAATCTGGGACAAGACTGGGGTACGTGTATGTTGGACACGGGAGAACGGTGTGTATTTTTCACAAACAATCAAACAAACTACGTCAAACTACTTGCACCTCACACATACTGTCCTGTTCAATCAGTACAATGGGAACCTGTGAATCATATTGAATCATTGAACATCCTGAAGATTGGGAACTCTTCAGGATGACATGGATCGGTCCCAGAACCCAGTGCTGTCGCTCCTGTCGTCTTGCAGCTCCTGTCGGTGGGGATCTAGTGGGGAAAGCCAAAAAATGCCAAAGCACTTCTCGACCAAAAGGGAAGTCGCGCTGGAGATCTTTTGGAAGGAAGCAAAGATCGACCTGTGATCATCCTGGAATAATATGTACTTATAGGCTAAACAACAATAAACACATCGTTTGTGGTCATGGCAATGCGATATCTTCGGCCTGGGGGACTTGAATGGATGACATATCGAATCAACTTTTGGTGCAAACTGGAATAGCACCAACATTTTTTCAAAGCCATTAGGCAACAAAAGGGATCTGAGCCAAACGTCCTATTTTGAGGATTTGAAGAACCAACAAGAATGAACAAGAGGATACAAAAGGTTTGTTGTGACCCCACGATGAGCTTCCAAGCCTTGCCTTCAGAGCGCGCCCGCAGAGCGCGCGGAGGCATTGTGGCTCGACTGGAGTCCCTGCAAACGAATCAGCTTGTGTCCAAATCCAGATCATGAATACACTGGCGTCCAAAACACGCAAGCAAAGCCATCCTTGCAAAGGCATTTGGTCATTCAACTTGGCCAGGTCAGTGAAGAGGGTTAACCGTCCAAGGTTCCTATTCTGCATGGTTTGGTGTATGTCTGGACGTGAACCCCTCTGCTTCTGAAGACTGGTTTTGCACCCGCCTGGCTGGAGGGGCTTCACTGAGGATCGTCTGTGATGCTGAGTGGCGCGATTTGTCCCGATTGTCTGAATTCGTTGTGGAACAATGGCACTGGCCATGGCTTGTCTCAAGTGGCTCTTCAGTCTGCAACATGAATCTTTGGCTGTGCACGCCCTTCTTCACCAGTCTTCAGTGGTTCAATGCCCCGGCAGTCTCAAATTGAGAAAGTTGGTTTTAATCCAAAATGGCTGCAAACCATGAGTCGACTAGTCACTAGTCACGGCCCAATGTCAATCTTGCATCAAGCGAAACGTCTAGTAAGCCGAGCCAAGCCATTTGTCAATTTGTCAAGGTGAAGAACATATATAAACAGCACGCTTTTCTACACTGAAGCCTGCACTATTGTAAGGAACTCGACACCCTGACCGGACCACAAGAAGAAGCCAGCTGTTTGCACAAGCCTGGGGCTCTTGCGATTGAAAGCTGCACGATGGACAGGGCCCCATCAAATGGTCGAGCAAAAAGGCAAGGTAGGCAAATCAAATCACTTGCCTAATTGTCAATCTATCAGTGATGCATCACATGTAGCTCCAGGTGGAGGCAGTGTGGGCGCAAAACACCCCGCATGTGCACAGCCCCCTCTGTTTCGGTGCCATGTGTTTGCTTGTAATGCACTGAAAAGCTCAAGGTTGGTGTCCAGAGGTCTTAAGTGGAGGTACTGCATAGCCATTTGCCAGTTGGTCTCAGGTGGTAAAATTCAATCGACCAAACATCCCTAAATACTAAAAAAAATCAAACAAAAATGGCTTGAGACAAAAGGATGCCGCGATCACCGCGCAAGTTTCTGCCATGCACCTCCGCAAGATCCTCCCGCATCTCTCCGCCCTTGTCATCCCCTCCAAATGCAAATATCTGCCGAACGGAGGCCCGCGGCAACACCCAACCAAACATCCGGTCACCCTTGAACTCCCTATACAGTACAGCATTATACAACCACGGGAGCGACACATGTTCTTCTCCGCCCCGAATTCATCCAAGACGTCCGTTTCAATCGAATCATTCGCCTTTTCTGAAGAATTTGGTATGACCTTCCTCAGACCCGACCTCTTCTCTCTGTCGTTGAAGGCTTTGGATCTCCGCCAAGACCCGCTTCTCTTGCAACAACCTGGGGCTGTCGGGCATCGTGCTGAAAGCCGCGTCAAACGGAAAGACGATGGGAAATCCGAGTGACGCCCTCGTTGAACAGGGCCCGGACTGCATGGAGACATCATACCTGGCGGTCTGGCTAAGGAGCCTCATGAGCCTGGAACCTCTCTGAGGTGCATCTGGTTCTCATTGATGAGCAGGTTAATCAATTACGTATTTACTTATTTCGTTCTTTCTCCTGCATACTGGCCCCAGCTGAGAACTTGTTCTGGACCCATTTTGTGCTGCACTGATCATCTCAAGAAACACACGCTTAAACCAAACCCAAAACACTTTCTTTCAAACAAGTGGCTTCCTCAACATAGCTTCTCAAGCCAGCTCCCTAGGCTCGTGTCCACCGGCGCACATCTGTTGCTCCAAGAAGTGGATCCGCTCATCGATCTCAGCCTGGCAGGAAACGATTGATTTCAACCTGACATGTGTGAGACACAGAAGCGTTGTGCTTCCAACTGCAAGGACAACAGCAGCAAACGGTCTTTTGGCGATTCATACTGTCGGAGAACTTGGACTTTGGAGCAAAATAGGTCAGAAATGGATGCCGCTGTCGCCAAACCTGCCCAACCCAAGCCTTCCAAACTATATATATAGTTGGAATACATCCATTCAATGTTTTGTCTTCTTGGCTGAGACAACATACGAGTACTGTAGCGTGTTTCAGAAGACTTTGATTTGTGCAGTCTCTTGACATTCCTTCATGGGTGCAGGGTCCATAATTTCTATAGTCATACCGAGCCTCATTCGGCCTCATTTGTTTCAGCTAGGTGGTTAGGTGGAGGCACCAAAAAGGAGAGCTGACCTCATTCTTCTAATCACTGTGTGTGGGGAGTACATGACATGCTCTCAGCGACATGACATGCTTCAGAACCTTGGCAAATCGGATACCGCCGTCACCCATCCCTCTCCACCACGCCTCTGTGGAGTATCCCGAAGAGGTCTTAAACCTCCCGGAGTTTCGATCGCGTTGGCGCACGTTGGCGCGTTCTTTCGCTACAGTGCATGGCCCAGCCATTTTTCAATGGAAGTCCAATATCATAGTCTTGAGCAGCTTTCTCTTGTGAGTCGGGACATGACTCGAGGCACGGTTCTTCCCCTTGTCGATTCACTTTGATTCATTAAATTCATACCCTGAAGATGCCGTGGGTTTAAGCGTTTATCCCATTCAACTGGAGGGAATCAAGTGAAACACTGGATGTTGGAGCACCGGCCGCCTTCGGATCTCCTGTCGCTTCCGCTGTTCTTCTTGGAGCTCGGGGTCCTGGCTCTGCGTTTTTCTCAGATCTCTGGAGCATTCTGACAGCATTCTGACAAATTCATCTGAAAGTTAGTGGGGTTGTGTTCTGTTTCTCTGTTTCTACTGGGTCTGTTCAAGCCCGTTGTTGCTGTGGTCCTGAGGTGCAGTTTCATTTTTCCTGGACAACAAAGGGGGAGGGGGCAACGCTGGTGTTGTTAGCCTTTGTTGACCAAACATTGGGCTTGAATACATGTTTCACAATTCGGCAAGAAACGTGGAACTGGTAAAAATCCTTGGGTGGTTGTCCTTTTCCTTCTATATATATAAATACACATATATACACATAATCATTTTAAAGGATGTTTAATACAATGGTCATTTGCATAAGCCTCAAGCCACAAGTCAGGCAAACATAACCACTTAAACCATCGAACAGAAATAGGCAACCTGAACAGAGACAAGAGACTGCAACATACCACCCAACGGTTTTGACCATGTTTGACAAACATCACCACGAGTGCAGCATATCAATTCGCATTGCAGTTCCAATTTCCACACACCCTTTCATCCCAATTGAGGCTGTTGGATCACTGACCGATTTTCTCGAAGTGACAACCGCTTCAAGTTGCAAAGTGGGAAACACCCAGTGGATTGCTCAACTTGGCCGGTTCAACCTGTGGGAACTCATTTTGCTAGCCTATCGATCTGACGAATCTACGCCTTTCATGTAGACAAATGAAAACAGTGTGAGTAAGCCAGTCAGTCACTCAGTCAGTGTCGGTTTAGGCACGCAGAGCACTTGGAGCATCCTGGACCCTCGACTATCGACCAATGGTTTTTGCAGTTACACATCTTGACCATGGTATTACCATGTATTACTCACTTCCCAGGTCGATCCTGCCAGTTGTCTCTTCAGGTGAGTGAGACAGTCGACAGACATTATACCAGACAACAAACCCTAAACCATTCAAAACTGAAAGGCCGTCAATCCTTCGGGCTGAGCTCCCCCGACGGTGCCCTCCAAAATCTGCGCTCGTTGCTGTCTCAACTGCCGTACTGTGCTGGCCTCAACATCACATGTGAAGCGGACGCCAAGCTGGAGCGACCATAGCTTTCTGTGGCTGACTTGGCGAATCGAATTAGTGACAACGCATTTCTCGTCCAACAGGCAACAAGAATTTTGTCGTTGGAATGGCCTGGGCATCTGCAAAAGGCCTAAGCACATTAGTCCGTTTCCTCAAATCATGCTTGTTGAATAGAGATCATGGAGGGTATTTGCACATTGGGTGAGTGGAAACTACCTCGCCGCGATTGGGGTCATTGCCACGGGTGCTGTTTGGCAGGTGAAACACTCACACATCAAAACACCAATTGAACTTTGAAAAGGAAACACAAGAAGAACAATGATATGACAAAACACAAGTAAGGCCGCCCTTTTTCATGTCTGTCTTACTTTCTTGAGGTTCCTAGACCTCAACCTCTACGCTTTCAGTCTACATATTCTCCACCCATGCCTGGAATCGGTACCACGCTAGTGTTTGATCCAAACTTGCAAAGGAAACTAGAAGGACCAAAGGGTGGTTTCAACTGTGAGAGTTTCCTTTGCAACACAATCCACCAATTGTTGATCGCTGAGTCCTCCTGGCAACTTCATCCACGTGGTTCTTGAACCGCTGCTTGCGATGGCTGTAGTCCTGCCATGGCTTGGTGCCCTAGAATTGGGAGAATCTGCTTGCAATGTTGGAGGAGCATGGTGGTTCTTGGGGTCCACTGCCAAACAAAAGGACCCATCAAAACCTACCTGGCCTGCTTGTGCTCCTGAAGGCTACTGCAAATCTGCAGGGGACTGTGCACACATTCATGGCCACTCTCTTCCAGAATACATTCTTTGGTGTCTGCAGCGCTGCAAGAGTTCTGTAAAGTGCACATTCTTAAATACGGTTTAGGTCCAATGAATGATAGTAGGAATAGTCAGTCTTGACACTTCAATATTCCTCCCTAGGGCCTTTGCTAGGTTGGAGGCCATCGCTCTTAGGATGGAGGCCATTAGGCTTTCATGAGCTCTCGCTACTTCTTTGGGCATTCCTGGAGCACCTCCTCAGTGCCTTTGAGTCCGCACCTCTCCATCAGCACCACAGGTCTCTGCCTGGCTGGAGGAAGCTGGAGGACGAACAACCACAATGATTTTGCCATCTGTTTGGTGGATTATTGTATATGCTTGCAGAGTCCCAGATTTTGGAAACAAAGAAACAAACTGTTGTATATTGCAAAGAACATCGTGACGGCCCTTTTCTCATTGTATTTTAAACAACTACTACGAGTATATATTCAACTTCACCGACCCGCTCTGCCGCTCTGCGTGCCAGCTGATGCTCCAAGTCCTTCAGCTGCGTTCGAAGCCGTTCTTCCTGGACTTCGCTCTTGCGGCTACGTTCGTCCGTGAGCCATGGTGCCATGGACCCAAAGGGGAAGTATGGGTCTCGCAGTGTCGCTGTGTCGAAGTCATGGGAACTGTTGTAAGTTCACAAATATTCAGTGTTTTCTTACTTTGGCACAGCCCTGTTGGTTCGGCTTTCATGTGTCCCTCTTTCATTTGAAGACGCCGACAAGTTGGCTTGTCTAGCATGTTTTTGTCTATTGCGAAAGAACCGTGCAATTGTTGAGCTTCTCAAAATCTTGCTTTGGTGACTGTCACCACGTCGTCTCCACCATGATGGACATGGTCCAAACTTTGTCTCTATAGTACTAAGTATAGTCCATTGATCTATTTGCCGATGACAAACAAGAGGCATGTCTTACAGAAAAAACTATCATTGCTACCGGGCTAGAATACCAATTACCACAAGCTACACCTCTGTCGCGAGACATTATCAACGATGGAAGCCTCATGCTCATGCTCCCCAAAGCCAAGCCTTAGGTCCAAAGAAAATCTTCCCGATGTCGCGGCTGGGTGAGGAGCTTTAGCATCCTTGGACTCCATCTCGATCAAATATTCCACCGACTTGCTATCCGAATCTACTACGGACACGTTTGATCTTCTGCCAGGAAACAGTTTTGAATTTGCCAGTTGCGGATTTGAAGACTATTTGGTGATATAGTGGTGCAAAGGCATTGGGCCATGACCATTGACTTAGCCATCACTTGCCCCCAACACCGGCATGCGGTCCTCTTCGGTGACCTGTGGCGCAATGCCGCTACAACCAGAGGATGCCAGGCAAAGTTTTATGCTAGTTCCAAATCGATAGAAAGAGTATCCCTTTCTATTTGTGGGAGCCTACATGGCAACCATGGGCAAGTACAAATGGCCTTGGGTTTATCAAGTCCAAGTTCTTCTTGGGACCCATAGTTCGCAGCTCCAGGGTGCTCTCGAAGAAGGAGGCCCAAAGATTTGAGGCAGGCAAAAAGGTGGACTGCATTGTGTCAGGCTATGTCAAGAGCTTTAGGTTGCTGTAGATGCTTTTAATCGTCACATTGATTTATTTGGAGGACATAGTTGTTTGATCCCCGTTGGAATTACCGGTAGGTCTGGGGAGCGTGATTTTATACACATAAATCGCCTGCCCCAACATCCAGCAAGCAATCTCTCCACTATAAAATGAAGACTCGACATGAATCAGTAAATCTCTATAAAATCAAGTCTCAACATCTAAGGCGCCCGAAATCAGAAATAAGACGTAAAATATGATCTAGGTTTGAGGTAGATTTACCTTTATTTTGCCCAGGTCGGAATTGAATTTATAGTGAGTTGTTTGGGTTCAACTGGGCTGAGACTTGAATTTATAGGGATTTGGTTTGCAAAATCTGACAGCATCAGCGATGAGCAGGTTCTTTCCCCTGTGCGTTTGTCTGATTGTTCTGATGTCCAAAGCAATCCGCTTGATTGCTGGTTCCTCGATCGATGCTTTCAAAGAAATGTGCGGTATGCTACGGGTGAGAGTCCATGATGTCTTTGATCAAGATCATGAACGGCTTTCTGTTCTTGCCTTCCAATGAATCCTTGCAAAGTTCAAGAACCAACTTCTAATTATTGTAAGGCTTGGTCTGCTATAAAATCGGGGCTCATACCACCTCACTCCTATAAAATCAAATGTCAAAACAGGCAGACCTCTATCTATATGGCGGCCCACATAATTCTGGCCACAAGCTACCAGGTTGACACATCATTTTATAGCAAGCCTCCCTATAAAAAGACATGGGGTTTTTGTACTCGAGTACGTCCATTTTATAGGGGATATTCCATCGGGGATGTTATTTGTCATTTGGTAAGGGGTCAACACCCAAAGTCAAATAGTGACACACCCCTTGCAAACTCAAAGTTCCACAACAACAATACCACCCAAACAACGATTGGTCAGAAAAAAAATATAACATGGCCTGTGGCAATGTCTTTCAAATAGAAATGCGAACCTTATGAATGGATACGTGATGTAACACCAAACAATTCTTTACACCACCCACATCCACCTGCGCAAAAAACACTATGATTATCACACCTCAAACATGTTTCTCGCTGGCTGTAACAAACAAGTTTGTGTCCACACCATCCACTTGAAAGTGCACTATGTGAGGGGCCCCTGCGATTCTCAACACATTCTTTCTGCAACAAACAAAGGCATCCGGTATTTACATGTCACAAGTCCCCTATCCAAACCAAAACATACCACCAGCTGTGAAACAACGACTGCACCTCCTGCAGTCGCTGCTGTAGGACTTCCAGGGAGGGCTCTGGCGATCCGAAGCGATAGCCAGCCTGGGATTCGCTGCACCATTCAACGGAGCCCCGTTCGTAGCGTCCTTGCTCCTAGTAGCGATGCCAGGAGCCCCTAGTAGCTTCTTGTTCCTAGTAGTAAGGCAAGGAGCCCCTTGTAGCGTCCTTGCAAGGATAGTTGAATTTTGAGGTTTGGCTTGATAGGAAATGGGTGGGATAGCATCTGGCATTTAGACTATTGGTGCGAACAATCTGTGTGCTTATGCACAAAAAACACCTGTGCGACCGGACGATTGCAACTAACCCAAGTCAGGACCAATGGGGCACCCGAACCTGCTCAGAAGCTTCTGTCCTGGTCTTTGTTGTCTTTGTCCGTTTAGGACATGGCTTACATGATTCATGACTACATGTCTTGCTCTGTTTCGCCTGACATTATGCAATATTGGAAGGAGCGATGCGCGAAGAACATCCAGCTCCTCTGAGCATGTGCAGGAACATGTGCTGCACGGTTGCCTGTCCTGCATCGGTCAGGCAATTCCACTGCCAGTGTTGACACGGCACATCCGAAAAAAGACAGTCTCGCTGGGTGAGCCTTTTCTCAGTATAAGATAGTATACAGAAAGGGGAATAGCATGGAATAGCCTATTGAACCAGTTACTTTCGATATGCAAGGTGCTCTCAACGTGCATTGAGGTCGATGCCGCACCAAACAACAGCCGACATAGACACTTTGCACGAACCCCATCAAGCAAAGTGATTGTTAGCAAGAAGGCCCTGATCTCTGCTTCAATACACAAACACGCCATTGTTTCTAGCTCTGCAAATCCGGCGGATCTATGGTCTTCTACCCAACTCTCCCAAACCCATGTAAATCCAACTTGAAAGCCAACGATGACCATGCCAGTGTACGGAATTGGAGCAGCCCATGCCATACGCCAGGATGCGGGTCCGCATTTAACAGCCGAGAGACCCCAATCATTCGATGAGACTTGACACATTTGATATCTCGATGACCAGGTTTTTGTGAGACATAATACAAAGTGTTGTATGATAAACTAGCCTTAGATGGAGCAACTTGCAGAATCCACAAACTCGTGGATTCTCTAGTATCTAAAGCATGAACCCTTAGAACATGCATCCGCTCGAGGAATTTAAGGCGTGTGTTGCTTATCTAGAAGCACATCAAAGATTCAAAGCAATGGTTATTCGTATACTTTTTGCGGCTCAAAGGTTCATCCATCCCTGATTAGCTGAAGTCAACGGACAGGCTACTTGTAGCCAGTGTGCTGCTGTTGACGAACAACTATTTTCCTCTATCCTCTTCGCCCCAAACGCTGTTGCTCTTCCCAGCGCAAGCAATCGAATCTTCACAACCTTTCATCCAGCCAACGTATGGCCAAGAGAGCAACATGAAACTTAGAACCAAATCAAATGTCAAGAGGAAAGCAAATACCTGCAGAGGTTACAAAAGAACATTAACCACTAATTCGCCACACTTCGCCACGTACGACCTAACCCGTCACACTGCACCAGATTCCGATTTAGGAAATTTACCACTCACCGAATGATTGTGTTACACTAAATGAAATTCTACTGTACCGCATCACAACTCACATTGCGGTTGACCACATCACATCACAAATATCCTCGGAACACATCACCACATGACTTGACATCACAGAATATCCGCTGATCGCATCAAGCAATAACTTTCCTCTACATATTTAAAGTCATTGGCAGAAACTTCCACCCTCCGACTCTGCCGGAGACTGTCTGGAAAGTAGAACAACCTGATACATTCGTGATAGTAGTCATTGTAGTACAGTAGTGTTAGTGGTACGAGTATTACCTAGTACAAGCAGTAGGTGGTAGCAGTAGTGGAAGTAGTGAAAGTTGCTGGATTCCTTATTCTCTGCTCAAAAATAGACAACACTCTTCTATCCCCTACCACCGAAGCTTTCTTCAGATTGTCTACTGGCCACCTCGACACCCAGCCCTGGTCCTGCGTGACCACACCCGCGTCCCAGAACAGCCTTCGTCACAACATGTGCATGTCCGGTTGCAAAGGGGCAAGGGCAAGGCCATGGCAATTAAAGCAAATTTTTTTAGACATTTTTCTGGCACCGCTAGAGCTACAAGTCCAAAACTCCACCTTGCCGTAGCCACCCAACCCCCAAGCACGCCTTCATCGCACCTGGGTCCACACGTGATACGTGGAGAATCGTGGAGATGCTACGCTGCGTAATCTTCGACGTGAGTAGTTGAGTAAATCGCCCTAGACGTGTTGAGCAATCGGTCCTTTCTGATGCAAGGAAAGTCTCACGCATATGTACCATGGGAATACCTCTGGTGAGAGACTCCTGACACTAGCCCAGCCATACATCGCGATTGACTTTGAAATTGAACGTTTCGGTCATTAATCACATGGATGTTGTTCCTGTATCCCTCAAACATGTGTGTATATTTATATATATCTATAATCAATTCTTTTTTGTACCATTGAATATCCACAGCGGGACGGGATAATGTATCAGGGTCTGGCAGTTTCCCTGTCACCATGATGATTCAACTGACGACACCAACTCAACCACTGGTTGAGTCGGTGTGTCACAGGGCTGGCATAGAAACACCAACAACACAATATGATATGGCCTTAACTTGTGCAATGCGGACGGTGGAACTGATTCGCCAATTTGGATTCCCATCACTGGTATTGCACTGTAGATTGGTTGCTGGCTCACAATGTGTATCTTGCTGATGTCCCTGTCCAGTGGAAAGCAATCAAGATGTTCAGCCGCAGTTCAGCTGCTAAAAGTCTGACTTCTGTTGGGTGGCGCTCTCAGCCCACCCATCCATGCATGGCCCAACTAGCATAACTAGAGTATTGCGTGATTTTGGGAAAGAGCACCTCAGGTGCGGCTCAAGCTCATTGCACCCTTCAGTATCTTCGACCCCGGCATCCGCCACGGCTGTCGTTGAGGCACACCACGGCGTTCCCCTGCCAAAGAGCAGGCTCGATCAGTGAGAGAAAGCTAAGCATGTTGGATTTGACATAGATTGACAATGTCTTCGGAAATTACAGTAGGATTTTCGTCAGTTTCTGAGCGTCAGTTCTTTAATTTAAGTTCCACGATATGGATGACATCACATATCACACCAGGTGCACTAGGTGGAATATCGCCAAACAGTTTGACTGGTGTACAACACCATTCTGAATCGACGAATGTGCTATGCAAGTATTGCGTCAGCTTTTGGGCCAAACAGGTTTTGGATACACTTTTCGGATGCATGGTTACATGATGTTACATGCCACTGCTGGTTTCTGCCAATCATTCTTCGCTGCTGCCCTCAGTCCTAAAGATTCTCCCAGCATGACACAGGCCAAATGAAGCTGGTGTAGCCTCTGAACAAATATACTTGGGACAGTACAAAACAACTGTGACAATCCACAAATCTGTTCTGTTGGATTTTCCATGTCTGTACCATTCCCCACCTGATTGGTCAGCCCAACAAAACCACTCCCCACTGATTAGCGCAGCTGGGGGCTCCAAACTGCAGCTGGTCACTGCCTCAGAAGATAAAGCGACAGTCCTCACTAGCAACCCTCACATTCTGTACTGTATGTTCGGCATAATTATCCAGAATCCTAGACCTCAAGTTGACATGATAATCACAACCAATATAGTGACAATATTTATGACTGCTTGAACTGTCGCCTTTCATGACAGCCAGAGCATGATCAATATCGTCTGACATGCCAATTCCGGGCAAGTCTTCTGATGTTCATTTAGCAGGACCGCACAGCAGGACCATCCAGTAGCTTTGACAAATGTCCAACTCAACCTGTAAATTGTGAATCCTTCCAAACTTTGATTTCGCTGCGTTCTTCCTTAAACTGCCTGCATTCCCATGCACCCCTAAATCATCACCTGTAAGGTGAGGCCCTCCCTGCCGCAACCCGCACACACAACACACAGGCAGCTGCCAGGCACGTTCTTTTGATTCCAAAAGCTGTTGTGGCCCGGCAACCGGTCCATGGCTGGCCGCCGCCTCTCCAAGGAGCGCAAGAGGCCCAGGTATGGCGAACCTGGCAACGATCACATACCACAGCAGGCCTGTTTGTCGGACTTGGTTTGGTTTCAAAAGATACCCATTAGCCCATAAATCTCAAGCCACATAGTATTGACAGTATGGTTCAACAAAGTCGAAAACTATCAAGTTGATAAACATGTAAATCACTGTTGGAACAAATACAATATTTGTTGAATCCTAGTGATATTATATGATAGTACAATATAGAAACATGTATCATGGAGGACTCTCATCTTTCGATTTTTGTAAGGAAAACCCAACCCGAGCGGAGCAGACACGGAACATTTACAGTAAATGGAAAGCAAGCACACAACTTTTTGAATCGAGTATACCAGAGTAACATGTTGAGATAGATTGCAACAGGTTTCTGATAGCACTTGCCGAAAGTTTCACTTCTTCCAGCACCCCTTTTGAAGTCACCCTTCAACGGTTGTTTGGGGCCACCTGATCTACCCACAAACTTATACACGAAGGGCGGCTGCATGAACTTACATGCCAAAGCGCAATTTTGACCAGGTTCCTCCAAGGTCTGATGATAGTCAAACCAGCAGGCATGCGCATCCACAGATGCCTTCATCCTGAAGCAAACGCATCCATGGGAGAATGGTTGCACCTCTGTTGACCACCGTGGGTTTACAAAACGTCTTTAGGATGAGCTCCTCCCACTCTCTCCTGGCCTGTCGTTTGTGGGATTCACTTGGATTACCGCCCAGCAAATATGCAGCTATGATATGAACTGCAAATCAGCTGCAAGGAATCTAAGTCTCTCACTCCAGCAGTCCCTCCACGTCAAAGTTTTCAGTTTTCAGAGAACAATTACAGCATGTAACCGTAACAGTATATAAGAGAAAACAAGTGCCGTCATTAGGTATATCGGTATATATCGGTATATCAAAAGGAAGGAAGACACTAATCCTGTCACACTTGAAAATGTTGTACATATATCATATATGACTATTTGCCAAATATATATACATATATATATATATATCTCATACAGAAGAAACACTTTTGTCCCATGGCGAAAGCTATCTCTAGTACGAGTACTTAAAGAACAACTCACAAGTTCATCCGTCGATCCTTCAGCCTCACATGACGATTGGCAAGTGATTACGATAAACATGCTGCTTTAAACATCTGTGCCTGTAGAGTTTGTCCCTGGGCATGGATAGCAAGAAGTAGTAGAGGTCCATGCTCACATCATGCATGGGCCACTTGATGGAGAAGTCTTCCCAGTTGATGTCTCCGTGGAAAGGTACGCCAAAATTATCACCTCAGGTGGCAGTTCTTTTGTTGTGGGACTGGTGGAGGAACTGGAGGACCTTCAAGAACTCTAAGTAGTTTCGAACCCCAAACTGTAATTGTGGGGGCTGATGATATAACATGATATAAGGTACTGTACTAATGAACTATAGATATATTATGATATATTGTTATGTAAAACATGTGATAATCATGATGGGATGTTGGAGAAGCTCCTCAAGCTGAACCTGTCAGACTGAAGTCTAAACCTCTCTCACCTACGTTGGACACAGAAAAACAGCTTGAATCATCTTGAATGCTTTAAACAATGTTGGGCGCCACGACTGTGGCAAAAGGCTCCTTGCTTTGACTGACCTGAGCTTCCTGCACCTCCCAGCACCCCAAAAGACATCCCTGTCGCCAAAGAAAAACGACCAGAAGCAATGCCAATTGAAGATTGGCAATCGATGGAACGCTGAGAAACACGAAACTGGCTTGCGATGCTCATGCGATGCAATTGATTGGAGGTTGCGGCGAGGTCGCGCCTTCTTCCCGCTTCAATCCCGCATGCCAAAAGGCTCAAGATCACAGGGATGCAACCCGCGAAGAACGATTCATAGAGATGGTTCGTCCAGGATGAGGTGCCCATCGGCACCAAGCAGAAATGGGAAGCGCCTTGGCTAAACCAGTCGCCCAAGAAGCCTACTCCTTTCCAAACAAATGGAGACAGCAACCACGTGGCAAAACATGAGGAGTGAGGAGTGTGACAAGTCTCTTTCTGAAACCGATGTTGAGTCAGAATCGTACCAAGAGCTTCGTCTCCAAATGGCACCCCCTAACCCCAGGAGTGCTTGGTGCATTTCTCCATTTCAAACAAACCCACTCAAACTTCATGCGTGGGTCGCACTCCTGTATCTTGATCAAAGAATTGTTTGTCTGAAGGTTCTCACGCAGCTGTCAAATTGAACAATCCATTGCTGCAACACCGACGGATCATGGAAGAGCTTCTCTAAAAGGACGCAAGACGGTTTTAACATCAGATCTGTTTCCAAAGATGATGCCAATAAGTCTGCCACTTTGGTCAGGCAAGTGACCCCGCATCTTAAAATATCTTGAACAAACCCGGAGAGGCACGATAGCACACATTGAGCGAACCCTTGTAGCAAACAGAAACACTACAGTCATGCGAATACCACGAGAACGCGATATGCGCCGCGTGATGCAAGCTCGATGCCCATGATCTCGAAGTATCCTTCCACGAAGCCACCCACGCTGACACCATGCACTCCTAGGCGAATCTTTGGATCGTGTTACGTGAATGGGCATGGCAGCAAGCTGCTTTCCATGTGAGAATATATATATATAGTTATTGTTTGTCTCACTGCTACATCCATTTTGTTAAATCTGTGGCATTGTTGCACCCCGATTCTTCCCTTAGCATCAACCGCACAATGGGGTTACAAAAATCGTCCTGCCTACAGTGACAGCAGGTCCCTTGTTCATACTTCGCTCAGTTCTGTCCTGTGAAAATGTCGATGATCTTCCCACGGACCACGTTGTCCTATCTGCTGTGCAAACGCCCCATGCAAGTGAGAACATGCAAAGCACTACAATGAGAGTGGTAGAATAGAAGGGGTCCCTCTAATACATGTCGAGGTGCCCTATATGATACACTGAGACATCAACATTCCGCTGATTGGCCGATCGTTCGAGATTGGAAAGGGCCTTTTAAACCGGTCAACTGCGATGAGCTGTTCAGACTGCTGTTCAGTCTCCTTGTAGTAGGAGGGCCCGAATCCTGGGTGCCGCCCATGAAAGTTGAAGAGCAAGTCCCGCTGCTCCGAGGGCAAGTTCACCTGTCAAGCCACTATGTACTTAGACATGATACAACCAGTTCACCTGATGATCCTATTGAAAAACGAGCACACCTAAAACTCTAGGTCTCTTGGTTAATATCTGGGCAGTTGAACCCTGTTGAATTTGTTTGTCTTAAGGTATTGCATGGGGGTATTTGATTGTAGAGTGAAGTGACATGTGCATAATACCTCTTTACATGCACCCTTAAGTGCTACAAACATATATATATATATATGAGAAATTCGTTTCCATACAACAGTACTACAAATCTTTTAAAATTGACCGACTCCATGAATCGAATCCACCAATTCGCTCCAACACTCAATCCTCCCCGCAACTCTTCCGTTTCTGTTTGTGTGCTGCACCTCACGCATTCTCCGGAATCGATAGTAGTCAGGATGGCCTGGCATGAAGGATCATGCCATCATTTCAGCCAATCTGAGTATCCAGTGCTTCAATTCAAAGGCACTGGATATAGAACCCCGCAGCTAAAACCGAACAGGAACTTGCTTGGACACTCAGGGATCCTGTAAACACATTGTCCAGTACTATATCATGTACTTAAACTCCGTTATGTACATGATGAACACATCCTGTCCTTTGCATGAAATCTCGCTTCACAGCTTCTGTGTTTGTTGGATTTTAGGGGTTTAGGGTGTGTGTCAAACAACCACGGCCACCGTCCAACTTCATCCAGTTTCAGTAGAGCCAGGATGCCTGGCACCACCACATCCTTCCAGGGGCTGAAGCAACTGGGTCCACAGCCTGGTGTGAGGGCCTCACGAGCAACAAAGCCTAGACTTTTGCAAATGGTGGTTCCCAGGTTTTGCTGAAATCAAACTATTTGTTCATTGAAACTGTCTCTCTAGCTTCCTTCAGCCCACCTTCACATTCCATCCACAGCAGAACTCCAACTAACAAGCGGGACCAATGGGACCAACAACAGACTCTTTTCTACGACCTTCCTCTGTCTGTCCAACAAAGCTGGCCTTGCTGCTCCTCAATTACAATCCCAGCCCCAACTCATCCCAGTTCTATTTGTCCCCCGTCAGCCCAGTCCAACTCAACACCATTCTCCAATAACCGTCAGCTTCTGAACGTCATGAGATTCTTGGACGCAGCCAAGGCAACATACGATCTCATACGGGATTGAGGGGGAAGGCGAAGGCATATCTGCATTAACAATAGCTAATACAAGACATATTAGTTAAACATACATATGCAACCGCTGTGCCACTTTGACTTACGCTTCTTAGTGCAAAAAATGCAGCTTTCGACATTGCAACTGGTGGCCTCTGAGTAGTTAAGGCTTGCAAATCCTGCCGCCCCCTAAGATGCCGAGCTGATAGGGTGCTCGAAGCGCAGCACATCCAAAGTGTGGCGCGTCGGATGCCAAACGCCGGTCCACTGTGAAATCAGGATCGTTGTCTTGTCTGCTTGCAGGGTCTCGAATGTCGGCAGTGTCGCAGAAATCTTCCAAAGAAACGTCCCCAGGCACTGAAAGCAACATGAGTTGGGGGAATCTTCGGCCTGGAGGACGCAACTGGCAAGCGTGCGCCTCATAGCCTTTCGGATCCTGACTTGGATGTGGGGCCGCTGGTCGCATCCTTGGCAAGCTGTCTGTCGAAATGTGACGCGCCACATGCTTGAGCTTCTGCGAATGCGTGCTCGATCTTCTTGGCTAGTAGTACTGCGCAATGCGCTCATTAGCACGAAGCTGTTGGCAAACCCAACTGCGCCGTCATCGGCATAGAGCGCGCGGTAGTCGTGCGGTGCGACATCAATCTCCTCGCTTCACAACCCACAAGGGCAGGGATACGCTTCGACCCTTACTGAGCCGAAACTCTGCAGCGTCAAATTTCATGCATATGACTGCTTCCGGCAGAACTCATATATGTGGTCTATGCTTATGGTCCTTGCTTCAAAAGCATATGCTCTTCTCAAGAGACACCACAAGCCCGATCACAACAAATCAGAACCAGCAGTCATAAAATGTCCTTCAGCAAGTGGTGCCACTTACAGCAGCCTGCCACGGCCGCAGGAGCTCCCCACCTCGGTGGTGATGAAGACCGAATGAGCGATGTGATCCCTCCACTCCTGGCGGCGATGCCCGGCCATGCAAAGATCAATCAGCGAACGGAGTACAATCTTTTCAGCTATTCATTTGACGATTTTGAACAAATTCAGTGTCCAAAGAAGACAAATACATGTCTGACTCCAACCCACAGCATCCTACAAAACACAGAAGCTTATCCACCACCTCACCACTCTTGTCACTGCCACTTCCCTTGCAATACATAATGTGAATATGCCAGCACTTTAGGAGAGCCTCTGCCGAAGCAAAAGACAGCCACCAAAGACTCAACACCCGCTCGAGCTGTCGGTCCGGAAAGAAGTTCATGCCCTGGTCTGAGAAGATGAAAAGGTGATCCCTTCCCAACTGCCGTGACCAGTGTGGCAAAAGTTCTTCCTGCGCAGGATTTTGGAACAACGCTTGACGAGCAAAGCTGATCCCTTCCGTCCAGGATGATTGGTGAATTCCTAGACAAATCCCCTGGCCGCATTGTCTTCTAGAAACCATTGTGCGAGCGCAACAAACTTAATCCCATCAACAGAGTCAGCAAAAGCCAAGTTGGAGTCCTTCCGTCGCATCAAGTCCAAGTAGACTGCGGAGATGTCCCCGATAGGTTCGCGGGACCTGAGCGAGCATATCAGCGTCTGATCAGTTGTGGCTGGACCCCGAGTACCATTGCAACAGAACAACTCTAGAGGCTGTCTGCGTCCTCCCCATCATGTACGTTCATACGTTCATAGTGAAACTCAGCAAGTTTGTCTCATGATGCTTGGAGCAAGCAAGTGAAGTGTAAGAATGACTGGGAGACCCCCTGTTGCACAAGCTTGGCTCAAAGACAGAAACATGGCAAAAGCAGCATGGGAGCAATTCACAAAATAGTATCAAATTGTCAAATGCCTCAAGCCACAGCAAGCTCGTCCGTCGCCAAGCACCCCCATCCCGCCGTGATAGTGAGATCTTGCGAACAGGCTCCAAAACCAGAGGATCCTGTCCATACCCCCAACGAAATCTCAAGTACCCGTCAAAATGTGTTCCATGGCTGTAGCTTGTACATGCTTCCACAACCACAGGCCAAGGTACTGATTCATCCGAAAGATCATACGGTCACACCATGTGTGCCATGGCACCAAGAAGTAGTCCGCCTCCTCGTGGGCGGATGGTGAATCCCAAGCGAGACCGGTTCATGGTATGCTCTTGAGCAATGTTTATGGCATCATATTCTTGCCAACTGCATAGCTCCACAGAAACCACGGTGGAATGGGCAGTTCTCTAAGTGTGACACTCCAAGTGCCACCAGATCTGTCTCCTCCGGGTTGTTGGTGACACAACTGCCTCTGCGGAGCCACCAGGGGATGAGCGCCTCCAAGCCCCACTGGCCATGTTGACAATGGAGAACGCCTCCCAGGTCCGTGACCGGGAGCCGCACAGCTCTGAGGCGTGGGGATCTTAGCTGGGCCTTGACCGGACAAACTTCCCCAAGTCATTGGTTTACTCCCATGATTTTTGATAACCTACAACCACTGAACAAGTGCTGGACATCTGTATGAAGGAAACCATGTTTAAAAAACGACTAAAGTCTCAAAACTGCACAGAACATCTCATGTCTTCTGTATTTGTCAGCACATGATGGACGTCGCCCCGGACAAAGCTGTCCTCGTTCAGCGTTGCCCGCAGGCGTCCAGTCTTTCAGCTCATAGATGTAGAAACGCAACGGCGATCCATAACCTTGAGTATGGGAAGACATTGCAAATCACGGGCTTTCAACTAACATAGTTCAACCATAGAAAGTAGTTCAACATCTCTGATATTCAAGCCTTCTATTGGTAGGTGTGTGCCTCATTGTGTACCCAAATTGCTTCTGGAATGAGTGGGAACGACATGACAAAAGTTCCTCTTGGCTAATCACAAGTCTATCGTCCAGCTTCGTCTTTTGGAGACTACTTCCCAAGTCATCTTGGACAGGTTTTGGACATGGATGAAGTGTCCCAACCTGCATGTTCCTCAAAGATGAGAAAGTCAAACGGTAGAGTACCCGGTAGAGTTCCTCGAGGAACATGTAGAGTTCACACCTGGTGATTTTGTTGCAGATTTTCTCCGGGAGGTACACTCACAAACATGACCACCATTTCCAGCTATTACGCAAATGCATAAGAATGACATCTTATACGACAGTTTAACAGCTTTACCTTAGTCCTGCTGCAACTGGATCAACTGTAGTTACACTGTAGTATTAACATTTCTTGGTGGATCCACAGATCAACCTGAGTTGCGGTGTTTGGAAATGTTTTGGGGGGGGTGGCCAAAGGGTCTAACTATATGATTGCAAAAAGTTATCATCATTTTTGCTCGTTGATGATCCCCAGGAACGCCTGCCATACCAAGCTCGTGGCAAAGTCAATCATGATCCATCAAAGTGAGAAGTTCCTTCAGTGACATCATGCCCTTTACTCGGTTGGAATGATTGCACCGGCCAAGTGTCAAGCCACAGTCCAACAAAAACAGTTTTAATCACAGGATCTTCATCAATGACCATGGGGCTTCCTACAAGTTAGGTCTGCAGCTGGCCACACCTTTCATGAACGAAAAGGAAGGACTTCTGCTCAAATTTCTGCAGCGCAATTCCTTTGCCTCCGTCCTTTAGAAACATAGTGGAAAAGCTATGGTTCGACATTCTGTTCTCTTTCTCAGCATATATAACAACAATCATGGCAGTTTCGCTACATCAAACGAAACCCTTCAGTTTCATCCCACACAACACCCTTCCACAGCCTCTGAAAGCCAGCGGCAATCATGCGGTGCCGAAAGCCCCAGCAAAGAGGGGTAAATAATTAGATCGTGCCTGAGCAGGCCAGGGGAAGGTTTCATGCGACCCTCCCAAAGGGCCTTCAAGTGAACAGACTCGTGATCCAGTCAATGTTTAAGGGGTCTACGGCAGACTTTGACCCTATGAATGATGTTGAGATGGGCCCTTCCTGATCCTTTTTGTAGGAACTAAGTTGTTGTTTTTCGGTCGACCTGGCAGCCTTCAACATATGAGCCATCTCCAAGCAGTTGGAGCCACGGTACGTGTCAGGCCACCACTCTTCTTCTTTGGCCACATCCTCACGTCACTTCGATTTGAGGCTTCATGTGGCACCAAATGGCACCAGGACCATACACATGAGCCTGGAATTCCTATGTAGTAAAAATATTCAGCAGCTGCAATGCAATCTTGACAAAGCCATACTCATGCCACCCTTCGACCAGCTGAAACTAATGCAGTTCCCTTCCACCCAAAAGCACCCCCAGCATCTGGTAAGGAAAAGCATTTTCCAATCCCCTGAGGGTTGCCATGTTTGTTTTTTGGGAAGCTTTGAGGGGAGCATGTGGTGGCTTGTCAATTCCACCACGAACTGTATTCTTTTGTTTGACTTTCCGCGTTTGTCACATATCAACACCTTGAGTGGCACTGTGCTGGATCGACCCTGACCTCTGACGATGATAAATTACAGCCCAAAAATCTTCTTATATATATATATATACAGTATATATTTAGAGATGTATGTGTGTGTGTGTCCACCCCTGGACAAAGGGTTTTCCAACACTATTTCTCACAGGCAGGGGCGTGTGGCACTCTCGCCCTACCACACGCAACGAAGCTATGGGCGAGAGTGGGAAGCAGGGCCCGATCAGCCCTGCGCACCTGCCGTTCTATCAAGCTGTGACTCCACTCTCCACGTTTTTTATTCATGGTTCTTCACGTTTCCACCCCCAAACCTTTTCCTGCCGCAGACGTGCAACCGCGTTTGATCGTTTTGCAGCCGCATTTGAACGTGTGAGTGCACTTGTGAACAATGTTGAACAATACTTTTCAGCGGACTTTGCCACCTTGCCGTTCCCTCGCCTTCCTTCCCATCGGAGTAATTGAGTTAACTGAAAACCAGTGTCAGAGTGTGTCTCGCTCAGCCGTCCCACTCGGGTGCTGAGTGTGATCCCCGTCACAGGGGCGCCGATCTTGCATGGGAAAGCAACAACCACAAAGCACCACCACTCACTGGACTCTCACAGGAAGTCACCGACACCCTCACCGAATCAACTGACATACTGGC